GGTGTCTTTCATTAGTGATTAATCACGATTTGTAAACGAAATCACGATTTCATGCAATCGTGATTGATCGTAAACACCTCACGAATTGTCACTCAGTGTAAATGTATACTCTCACGAGGAAGATTTTCCTAATGAGCGCAGCGAGTACAGTTTAACGCGGGAACGCTAAAAGCTTTTGGCGGTAACGTTAGCCGCACGTAAATATTAATTACACGAAGATTTATCCGTGAAATAACACATGGAAGTGTTAAATTTACAGTGATATGTGAAAAAAAACTGAAATACATTTAAGTTTAAAGTATTGATATACTATAAGTGTTTAGTAATGTATTTTTATGATATGGTAAAACATAAAAAAATGCACAAACCTAATTTTGTGTTAAAATAAATTTTGTATCAGCTATAGTAAGATAAAACATATAAAGCTTCGCGATTACAGCAAAGGGGTCGATAAGTGATTTTGAGCTTTTTTGAGTTTTGATCAAATAAATAGAAACTATCAATATAAAAAGAACTATTTATAGGCTATACTTGGACCCATGCCTAATACAATAATGGTATGTTCAATAAGTACTTATTTTTTCAGTAAGAAACTCACCAATTTGTTTATACATTAATTGTAAAAGCTCATGATTAAATATATATGGATTAAATGATGATCAATAATGTTAAATATTATTTTCAGAATACAAACCCCCTCCCAAATAATACACCCTTTTTACAACCAAATCAGGGCATTTTAACAAATTCTGTCTTGTATACCAACATATATTATAGATGTAAAATTATTTGTCTGTGTTTTTGGCTTCTAAGGACCCTAAGCTCTCTCTCACATATTTTGTAAACAATTCTGTTCCGCTCCGAAAGCCAAAAAAGATAAATAATCGAGGAGAAGGATTTATTTGCATCTGAAAGGATTAACGGGTGTTCCCTCTTTGTGGGTTTGTGATTTAGGCTTAAACACGTCGATATCTTGTGAGTTATGTTGTTTCTAACAAAATCGAATGCTTACTGAGGTACAAAATACAATATGTGTTGCAAACCGATGAATCACTGGTTTTTTTCATCCACGCTACAGCAATTGTACGCATTTCTTCTCCCCTATTTTTTCTGTCGGTCAGTGTACATTAACTAGTATTCTTTGTCAAGTTCCGCAATTTGGATTTAGTTTTAAAGCTTACTGTCTGACCTGAATTAGAACCAATAATCGTACATATCATATGGTTGTCAATAGCAAAACAATGTGCCAAAAGCATTTTATCAGCTAAAAATAATATATTTTATATAATGTTGTCAATGGTCCGTCAATTGATTGGATAAAATTGTACAATATCAGGATTTTATCCTCCAGACTTAGCCTACGGAATAATACGAACATATTACCACTTTAAATTAGTTTTCATTAATACGACTAAGTAACGCTTTGCTGCTCGTTATGTAAGTCTTGTTTATCGAAATAAGTATAAAAATAACCTCTTATTTTAAAAGCAAAGGAGCCGTGTTAACCTACAAAGGTAAAAGACAATTACTAACGCCAATTTGCAAGTTGATAATCCTGCTCAGAAGTCTCGGTTAATGTGGCTCAACCAGGTTGCTTTAATTTCATTAATTGTCATATATTTTGCAAACTATTCTTTGATTTGCTTGTCGAAAATTACTTTTGGAGACTAAAGATTTAAAGGCCCTAAATCCTGAAATTACTTTACCACAATTCCCACATAATCTCGCCCGAACCACATCATTACTTGGGTTTCCGTTAGACTTAAGTACCATTATTTATTCTAAGTTCATTTCTATTCTCAGCACTATTAGTTATTCTCAATTATAAGTATGGCTGGATATTTTTAGTATTCAAGTAAAATTATTTATTCTTTGGCTTACGTACTCTAAGTTATTCTAAAATTCAGCACCTTTTTCAACATAAACACATGCATGAAAAGATTTCTAGTGTCAAAACTATGTTAAAAAAAACTATATTATGTTATGGCAGCAAGAATGTTTCTCATTTGACTGTGAGGGACTGTGTATGACCCTAAATAGCTTTCGTTGGCAAGTACTCTAAGAGGGGACATTTTTTAAATTAATAAAACATACAAGAATTCAAATTATTTCGTTTAGAGCAACACAAAATTTTAAAATCGGTTTAATGCATACGTGAACATAAATACAAAATAGAAGGATAATATACAATTTAATAGATGGATTATATTCATCATTTGTTTATGATCTCCTATACATTTCAAAGTTTATATTATTTTACTATTTAGGTTTACCCGGAAAAAGGGCTGCCAAACAGCAAGTTTGGTCATTAAGATGCTAATTTTGCAAAATGCCATTCTTTCAGTTCGGTACGATTAAAAATTTTTTCTGTTGTGTACTAAAATAAACCTGTGATTTACAACACATTTTCTGTTTTGTTTTTTGAACCCATTAATTTTAGTTTTGCCCTAAAAACTACATGGCTAAACCATTTTTTAAACTACTTACAGATTAATTATCCTAATCATGGATTAGACGAAGACATTTATTTTCTTTCATCTTTTTTATAAAAAGTCATAGCCTCCAATTTAATTTTATCAATATAGGGCGTTTTGCTGTTTCCTTTTTTTGTTGTTCAACCAATTTTAACTCCTTTCATTAAAATACAAAAATCTATACTCTTGTATCAGAACCGAAGAAAATAGTGCAGATTCAAAAATATGCCCTAATAAGATTAATATATTCAAACATCATCAGCAGAAAACTACATAAATTAAGCTTAGAAGAAAATAAATTAACAATATGATTAAGAAACTACTTGCACTGTTTAAGGATGAGATAAATTTTTACATGAGGATGTAAGTATACTTCATTTGCAGGCCTATCTAGGTCAAAGGACAAACCTGGCGGAAACACAAATCCTTTTACAGATCAGGTATAATAATACAAACAATACTAATGTTCAATAGACTAGCGAAAATGACATAGAAAATTGTTGCAGTTGCAATGATTTTCAACAATAATTAAACATTAATTTTCGCTGTTTGACTTGGAAAGTCAGCCCCAATGGTAAATCTTGAAGTTAAGTTTTAACATGATGATTAAATGTCTGCCAAAAATCTATTAATATTGGTTCCAGGTCGTTTAGGATTAGACTATTAGGCCTAAATATTTTGTTAAAAAGATTTTTCTTGGAAGCTGTGTTTTGAAACAATGAGTAAAATATGTAAATTCAAAAAATTAAAGGGATATATTTAAGAGCTTATTTGACTCACTGAGCAAATTGTAATTTTAGTCTGTCGAAAAAGTTGAAATACGTTGAGAACAAATATTGGTTGAGAGAAACAGAAAAGTTATAAAAGCTTTAAAACTTCTTTCATCAGCACTTCGGTTATTTCTTCCTGGAGTATTCTGTGCCATATAACCATTTAAAAGAAACAGAGTAGCATACTTTTAAGCATTTAAACGTGAAATTATTTCAAAACCTTTTTAAAAACGTTATTCAAACTAGCATTACAAGTTACATTTGAAGACACAGTGTCAAAATTATGCTAAATTAATATTATTATTATTTCTAAGGAACACATTTTATGTTAAAAGGATTCCCTATTTTATCCCGGTATTAGTTTTCATTATTTATGTTTACATAATTATTATTAATGGAGAAAAAAAATTTACAACATTGAGAAAACTTTGATGAAATTACGTAAAAAATTAATATAATAAATTTAAAAAACAAACCTATTTCTTATGTAGTTCTCCTCTCCACAAAATATAAGACAAGAAAATAATTTAGGGCAAAAACTAAAATTTGTTAGATAATAATTAGCATCGATACTACTATGTTCAAACAATTTTCCCGCAAAATTTTGTATGGGGTGTTCTACAATTTGAATTCACAAGGTGTTCAAAAAGGGTGGGGACATCATCTACGTAGTGATTCCTGAGTTCAAAATAAAAAGAAAATCAAGAGTAACATTTTTTCCAAAGTCCGTTTCGTTTACTAGGTATCCGCCATTTTGTATTTGTACATAAGGATCAGAACAAGACGAGAGGCTAAATTCCGGACCGTAGACCTAATGACTAAACTCATGAAGGGGGTGGAAATCCGGCCCGCGCACTCTAGGTTGTAATTTGTTCTGATTGAATTTATAACAGTGAAAATACGTTTAATTCCACATTTAATTTATTCATCTCAGGTTGTGGAACTCGCAGTTTTCTGATAGAATTTTACCTCCTAGGCTGTGACGACAATTTTGATCAAGGTGGTAAAATTCCGCTAACCCCTATAATACCACGGCCGCCTTTGACTACAGGGTGCGGCGTGATGCGGCCTGGTAGAATTGGCAACATCGCAAGTGGTGTTGTTCAGTGACAGACGTCCCATAAGATAACATGGCAGACATGTGACATCAGCTCATTAATTCGCACTTTATTGATTTAATTTTTAATTTATGAACATAAATTTATCAAAATGTTGAAAATAAAACATAGCCTACAGAATTGAAAATTGAAACAATATGAATTAAAATCTATACCTGTGCATTTTTAAGCGGGGTCAATATTATTGTCATAGTCTAGTAATCAATGTTTCGTAAATACACAAATACCATTAGTTGCTTCCAAAAAATCAGCTGTTACAACACCACTTGCGACGTTGCCAGTTCGAAGGCCGCGGGCCCATTACGTGCTCCTATTGCATAACGGCGGTTAACATCTCTTAATTCTCTAAATCAGTGCTACATCACCAGTCACCACCCTCTATTTCTTCTAGCCTGCTTGGATTATACATCGATGCTTGTGGTTTGAGGTGCCTGACCTTTTTTTAGCTAAATTCAACAGTTCCATCTCCCTCCTCTCCACTCCATCGTTTCGTTCCGGTCTCCACTCCGGTCCGGTTCCATCATCCATCTTCCATCTTCTCTTCTTCTCATTCTTCATCTTTTAAAGTACGGTGAATTCGAATTGATTTTGTTTGGCCTATATTAATTGTTTACTTTTTGATCTAATGTTCTAATACTGCAATCACGGATTTACTTACTAGTTACTCATCAACTCATGACCCATGGGAGGACCAAAAATACGAAGTGGAAGAGACTTGTAGTATAGTTTAAACCACAGACAAGGGAAACAAAGCACAACCTACCTTAGTGTACAATTTACCTTCTACCTTTACACACAGTGAGTAAAAAACGTTCGTAAGACGTAAGTTAAATACATGAAAGAACATGAGAACCATAAGGCCCAATTTAAGTTTTATTCACATCGTGGGCTTAACTTCAAAACCTTAATCTAAAAGCGTCCAGCCTAAATCTATTGTTGGCTTATAGGCCTAAGTTAGGTTAGGCCTATAGTTGTCTAAGTTACTTGGTTGAATCTTAGTAGGGAAAGCTATGTAGGCCTACCACTCCTAACACCCCAACTCGCTCAAAACTTTCTAAAAACAAACTTCCGTGACCAAGTTTTTAAGTTAGGCCTACTGTGTCCGCGAGAGTTAAGAATCCCCTTGAGTCAGGGCTACACGCAGTAGGGATGAGCCAATGTTTTTGAACCATCTAGATGTTTATCTAACTTATCCATGTTCGATGCTTGTTACATTCTAAATAATGGTAAATAACCTGCATTTATGTTCAATTTGTTGCTAGGCCTAAATTGCAACCGGTTTTGACTCACAAAGGAGTCATCGTCGGGCCAGTACAGATGTCTTCTTGCTTCATTTGAAGGTCGTCAATTCATAATAGCCTAAATAAATACATTTAACACGTACACGAACATAAAAACAAACATTTAGGGTTAAAAACGAAGGATAATAGGCCTATTATACGGTAACGGGACACGACGTGATCGGGCGGGGTAGGCCTACTTGTTACATTAATGTTAGGCCTAGATTAAACTTAACTTACCGATTTTTTTGTCGAACATCAATGTTTTAACCAAGTAAGTTAAGTATTGAAATATGATGACTGAATTGTATTAGTTTTAAGTTAACTGAATTAAGTTATGTAGCTGTTGCAGAAACTTACAGAGAGCAGACGAAAATCTGAAAAAAACTTCGATGCTTTAGCCCTGGAAATAGGGTACCTAAATGTTTTCGCGACGATGTTAAGTTATCCGTTTACTTAGACCTAACTTAGTCCTATATCGAGGGTTGACCTAGATCGATTCTTATCCCTAACATGCCAGTGTTTGTGAGCTATCTCACACTATTTGCAGGCGCTAAACGTAAATCATGAGGGCATGTTGCCTTGGCCTAAAGAGGTGCTGTAATATGTAACTAACCAAATTTGTTGTACAAAGATTAGTCGACAACGACGATGAGGATCCTTACCTATCTTACTTCAATTTATCTTTGTTTTTGTGAGTTGATGGTCGTGTAAGTTAATTTGATTCAGTGCAGTCTCCTTTAAGTTGTGTTTCCTTTAAGATTTAAGTTTACTTAAGGCTACTCTTATAGTGGAGCAGAGGTATTTATATGTTAATTCTACAGGTGATTGAGTGCTGTGACAATGAGTGGAAAGACAAAAAGTTAATGGTGCGAATAGAATAACTAACAGAGCGATGCAAAAAAAAATTGCAATAATTCATTAAAAACTATTAAAAGAATGATGAAAGCAGGTTTTTAAATACATCCAGATGAAAACTAAACACCTGGGAAAGCGCAAGCAGAGCCGTCCTTATAAAATGTGAGGCCTGGGACAATCCATAGTTGCAAGGCCTTGTTTAATAATGGTTATGAGGGGCCTAGGGGACCGGAATGGAATACCACCCAGCAGAAAGGGGGTTTCAGGGGCCCTCCCTAAAAATATTTGTAAAATTATACTTTGTAAAGTTGTCATTTTAAGTACCGTACCGTAAGTACCTACTTTGACGAATAAAAATGAATCACACTCTGAAAATGGGTGTGAATATTATTGCCACATGGCAATAACAGGTAAGAGTAAGCGTAAAACTTCGGTCACACTAGGCTGTTTAGCAGCCGCCACTAACCAGCCGCTTGTGAGCTACCAGGGGTTCACATTGGAAGGCTGCCACCAGTTAGGAGGTCACGTGACTCCCAGCGGTGGGTTGGAAGCGCTAAAAAGTTTGACTTTTGATTTTGGCTAGTAAACACCAGCTCGCTTGCAATACCACAGCTGCTAGTTCTAGGTCAGACTAGGCTGCTTGCTGCCAATATCACCAGCGGCTGGTAGTAGCGGCTGCTAAAAAGCCTAGTCTCAAGTGTGACTGATGCTTAAAAGTACGACTCACTATTACTGGGATGGCTTTTTTATGTCATCCCACCGCGGACACTGTCAAACAATGTTTTGTATTATTTTGTCGTTCGTAGGTTTTTATTTAGGGCCTAATCAATATTTAAGTAATAATTGAAATAATTCATAATAGGCTACCATTTTAAGAGAACATAAAAACAAATAATTTAGTAGGCCTACCGGTATATTGAAGTGTTATAGTAGGTATGGCTAAGTTATTGGTTACAGATCAAATAAAAAAAATGTAAATTTAAAATTCTCAGTTATTTTTATGGAGTAGGGCCTACTAGCTTACCCGTCACGCGTTGCTGTGATTTCAAGAAAGTTAGCAATTCCATATTCAATCTCTGGAGTTCTTTTAAATTTTTAGAACACTTCATGCTTGTTTATTTTAATAGGCCTTAGTAGTATTAAGGCCCACTTAAGAATACCTTAGGGTATTCTCGTCTGAAATACTAAGGATCCGGCCTTGAAAGCACTTTTGAAAGAGAGAAAAAAACTGTTCAGGAATCTTTTTATTCAGGAAAAACGTACAGATATCTCATTTGAATTAGAGAAAGCTGACTGCATGCAAAAGGCCCTTTGGCATATTGTTCGTAGAGAGACTGGTGAGTTGAAACCTTCTTCTTTACCCATCTTAAAATCCAAGGATTCATTAATTCAGTCACCTTCTTTCTCAGGTTCTTTTGTTGGATCTGCATTTGGTGAATCGTCTACTGCAGCCAATCTTGTCCAGCAGACCCCTCCAATGCATTCTGTGTTTTTGTCTCTAGTTACTTCCAGAGAGATAGAGCAAGCAATTAAATCGCTTAAATCAAAAACGTCTACAGGCTCTGACGAAATATCCAGCTCTCTTTTGAAGCAAATGTACACATCCATTTTAGACCCTTTAGTTTATCTGTTTAATGCTTCCATGTCATCAGGTATTTTCTTCAATATTTACAAAATAGCAAAAATTGTCCCGGTCTTTAGGAAAGGTGACAAATGCGATGTTAACAACTATAGGCCGGTTGTTCTTCTTTGCACTTTATCAAAGGTAATGGAGAAGGTTGTGTATTCCAGGTTAATGAATCATCTAGACATGAAATAACATTGAACCAATATGGCTTCAGAGCTGGTCGCTCAACCACTCGAGCAATTATGGAGTTTGTTCAGGATGTATTATCCAACCTTGAACAGCGCAAACCAGCCCTGAGTGTATTCTGTGATCTTTCGAAAGCTTTCGATACAGTGAGCCTAATCACGATATTCTTTGTGAGAAACTGGAAAAATATGGTGTTCGAGGAGTTCCCCTAGCTTGGTTCCGATCGTATCTTTAAAATAGAATGCAATTTGTTGAGATTTCAGGATTTGGGTCGGATCTCGCTGAATGCAAGTTTGGGGTTCCTCAGGGTAGTATTCTCGGACCATTGCTTTTTATGGTGTATATTAATGATCTATCAGCACATCTTCATAGCTAAATCAATATTCTATGCGGATGACACAACCTTACTGTTTGGAGGTCCATGTTCCAATTTGCAATTCCGAGTTGAAGGTTATCGCTGAACAATCTTAGACTGAACTCCGATAAGTCCGTTTTCATGCAATTCCTAACTCTCAATAAGATCCCTGAATTCGTCTAGTTGAATAAGTTTGAGATAGAAGTGTGCTCAGTTGTGAAATTTTTAGGTATAACTGTGGATAAAATGTTGTCATGGTCCAATCATGTATCACAGCTTTGTTGCAAGTTGAACCGCATCTGCCATGCACTTAGGATGCTGCAACCTCTTCTTGACTGGGAAATGTTAGTTGCAGTCTACTATGGTTGTTTTTTTTTAGTCTCATGACTTATGGTATTGAAGTCTGGGGTGGTTCTTCCCATGCTGATAAGGTCTTTACCATACAAAAAAGGGCAGTGTGTATCCTCAATTGCTTACCACCACTCCATTCATGCAGAGGAGTCTTCCGGGAGAATAACATTTTAACTTTGCCTTCTATATTCATCTACAGAGCAATAATGTCTGCAGTAAATCATCTGAAGGATATTCCATCGGTTGGTCAATGTCATAGATACCCCACTAGGCATGGAGAAGATCTTTGTACTCCATGTCATCGTCTGACCCTTTCTGAAAGGAACGAACATTTTTTGGGCCCATTTTTCTTTAATAGGCTTCCTGAAGAAGTAAAGCAGTGCAGGTCAAGGTTGGGTTCTAAAGGTTTTGGGAAACAGCTGAAAAATTATTTGGTGGAAGGTGACTTTTATAGTACCGAATAATTCCTGTCTGCCTGATCTCATTCAACATGGAATTTTTTTTTTAAGTTATTTGTTTAAATCTTTAGAATAAATAGATTTAACTTATTATTTTTTGTTTTGATTTAAATGCTACTAGACCATATAATGTATTTGACGATTGAGATGTGCAGTGTATAATTTGTACCCAATTCATGAATAAAATATGTCTATGTCTATGTCTAGGTACATATAAGGCTGTTTACATGATTTTCTACTAAAACTGTTAAAGGCCATTTAACTAATTGACTTTTTTGTAAACAATATTTTTTATTTTTCCTTTTGGTGCTTAAACGAATAGATGGATAAGGATTATCTATTTTCTATTTTATCTATTTTCGTGTCTAGTTCAATAACCGGTGACGCTGAGCGCGTTCTGGGAACATGTACCGGTGCACCGGTGTCGCACCGGTGAAAAAAATGTGTCAAGCAGACAGCTATTTCCTCTTTTTCCTCCACCGGTGCAAGATTTATGCACTGGAGAAATTGTAGGGTGCATAAACACCGGCGGCCTCTGATTGGTCAGTTGTCAGTTGCTTGGACAACATCAGCATGCAGCTACGGCAAGATGGCGGGTCCATCGAGTTATGGTCATCAGTTTTATAGGTTATGTTGCGTAATGAGTGAATAATTTATTCTATGAGGGGGTTATAGCCTATTACGTATTAAGTGAATAATTTTCAAATAATTTATTCTGTGAGGACAAGTTTGTTTGGTTTAAATATTATAAAGTAAATAATAGGTGATTGTGTTGTGTAAATTATAATCCCATGTGTACCGTAAACCGGTGAATAACCGTTCTGGGATACCAAGACTCTTGCCCCAGGGTGGTACCGGTGAATAAGTCACCGGTTAATCTGCACCGGTGCACCTGTACATGTTCCCAGAACGCGCCCATTGACTGCTAGTGTCGACAAAATTTTGTTTTAGGGTTGAAATCATGATATGGGCTTCACTGTTGGTTTTATAACTAGGAGACGAGTTGTTGTTTATGATTAGATCATTATATTTGTTTAGACAAGCTTTTTAATTAGGTACTGAAATAACAAGAAACAAATTGTGAACAAAACACTACCTCACCCGACAAAACTAACAATAAAACTGGCTCCAGCTGTTCCATAAAGATGAGAAATCTACTAAGGGGTTTTATCTATGTTACAACCTATAAATAAAGAGGTCATAAAATGTTGGTAGTTAAGTTTAAAAAATAACTTAATAATACTCTTTGTTTGTCCCTGAAACAAATGACATACCCTACACAATTAATAGGCTACAGTACAACTTTATTAAAAGTAATATTTTTGTTATTTTTAAAATTAAATATGCTAACTGCAGCAAAATATCCTAGCATTTAAATGAATCTAACACGGCAGATCAAGGGTTAACACAATAAAAACTATTGAACAAATTATTTCACCCTTCATCTCAGGGACTAAAATATGGGTTTAACGGATTTCTTCATGCCAATAAATGAATAAACTTTTAAAGTCTGCAAAACAATCTTAAGCACCTGTAAAAACATCTTGATCATAATACTGTTTAATTTAATGTTTCAGTTACAATCGGAGACTGTGGCAGAGAAAAAGATATATACATCTGAATGCTGGATCTTGTCACTACTTGGATTTAAAATAGGTAAATACGAGCTTTTTGGCCTGTCCTACGTACGGGAATCGAGTAGTCCATTAAAACTGAATATTATTCAGAACAGCTAGTTTACAACTTGGTGGCCGATTCACACACACTGGCTTTGAGTACAGTAGCTACATACCACCTTCCACTGCATAGGCCTACTATCACTTACCGTACCTTATTTTACCACCTTGGTCACTGAAACCTCTAAAATGATCCGGCCTCCCGTTCTCTTCTATCCCCTGCCATTTCTAAGGAAGATACCGGTCTGAAGATTTCTTTCATTACTTGGTCTTCAAAGTGGTCGTCTACCTTGTAGTACTCATTGGAATACACTTTTAAATGTTGAAGTATCTTCTCTCCGCCATGCAAAGCCTGCCCAGCCCATCCGAGATCTGAGCCTTTTGGAATGTACCCCTTCATCAAGTTTCTGAATCATACAGTACTACTGGGATAGTTATGATATGGTGTGAATCAATTTTGGTTTCTACTGACACTGCAGCTTACTGGTCAGTTTTCTGGAGACCTACTACACCGGTTGACATTTTCATGTGTACTGTATGCGGTCATACTTATATTCAAACATCTAGAAAAAGATGTATCAACACGTAAACCACTTATATCTTAAAGGATTAAGCACTTATACTTAGACGGATTGCATGTATGACAAAACTTGATTATACGTTTAAAATGTTTAGTTCGAAATTACACAATCTCCTGATAACATAGATCTTTTACGGTAGGTAATAAACTGCATTTTAAAGTGAAATAGTGTGTAGGCAAACTCTGGATCAATATTTTTGTATACAAACAACTTGTAACATAAACATTTCAATGGCAGTTAGAAACCAGCTGTTAGTTAAACCACCACTAAAACGACTTTAACTCGTCCGTCGGCTGCTAGACTTTTTGAAAATTAAAACTTAATTTCTAAAAAACTGGGACCCTAAATTAAAATTATGGCCTCGACATTCCCTAGTTCTCAAAATTATCTTTCTTTCAACACAAAAATCAAGAAAATCCGTCAAGTGGTTGATTCAGAATCGTGAAATAAAAAAACCATGTTTCGTTTTAATATTATAGATTTGATACTTACATTTTGATACTTGAACTATGTGTCATTTTAAAGCTTATGATCTATCATAGTGAAACAACAAACAAACTCACAACACAGGCCCGGTCTATTTGAGGCTCTCGGCTAGATGGTGATTTGAGGCCTCCGCCACTGGAAATAAAACAAGGACCATTTGGGTCTTATCACGGCAACGGTGTGACAAATTTGGCCTGGGTCCGCAGGGGCAGCCATGTGAAATATTTCAGGGTGTGACAATAGGACTGAGAGAAATCTCCCTCACCGCGTCGGTCAGCACCCTTCTCCCTATCTACATACACATTGGCAAGAGAACTGATCACCTCATGGAATTGTTCACCCAATTCAAATCAAACATTACTGTGTGGGATAATTTTTCAATAAATACAGAAAAGTCCTAGGCTATCCTAACATAACCTAACCTAGCCTCACCTCAGACTATAAAAATATTTACTACAAAATTATTGTTATATAAAAAGGCAATTATACCTATTAAAATTATTTTAACATGTTCACTACTGAGCGTCGCATATATGCGACGCCACAGTCATTGCCACAGACCGAGGTATACATTTGAATCTTACACATAGACCGGTTGTCACTTGGATAACAGTACACACAGACCACGGGCGAAAACCTGTGAAACAGTGATCATTTACATTGTAATACGCTACAATCGTGTTTGTTAATAATGTATCTTGTTTTTTTGTATTTCTTATAACCTTTTGTAATGTCCCATATCTGCGACGCCCGGAACTACAGCGAAGACAATAGTGAAAATTATCGTAGTTTTCTTGAAATAGACCAAACGTCACATATATGCAACGTTTTTTCCAACTATCATATGACGTCACCAATCATCATACCCACAGACCAAGCGACACAGTTGTGCGTCAGACATCTCTGTAGATCACTGCAAGGAATTCAGTGCCTTCAAATAAACCGTTACAAAGATATAAGCATTTTAATAATAGAACACCAATGCAAATTTGCGACGGCAGTCTATTTTAATGTGACTAGCCGACGCATATATGCGACGGCAGTCTATGGGTGGAAACCGGCCGACGCATAAGTTATGTGCGCCGCTGGTCCATGTGAATGAAAAATTTTGTACTATTGCTGTAGCGAACGTGTTAATAAAGACAGGTTTTGACAAACTATCTATAAATATTTCAGTGAACGATTCCATGAGCCGAGCCCAATAGTTCACTATGTGTCCGGGGGTAGGGTGATGGGAATTAGGCAGGGAGAACGTGGAAATTCCATTCAGTCCTAATGTCGCACCCTTGGAAAATTTCGCATGACTTCCCCAGGGGGCTCAGGCTGACCCTGAAAATTGATCCAGATCTTGGAAATGCTATCCAAAGTGGTAACCCAGAAGATGACTAACTCTTTTAAATATTTTTTTAAAGAGTGGGTAATCATGCGTTTTAATTTGAAATAGTTTATTCTAACAATTTGAGGTTAATTTACAAAACATTAACTTCTTTTTAAAAGTCTTTCTTAACCTTACTTTAATATGCCTCCCCAAAAGGGTTTCTGTATGGAATTCATGTCTGTGCTTGAAATTTATCGAGAAGTGACTCTGTCACAAAATAACAGTGCAAGTATAAACAGAACTAATGGATCACATGTTTGGAGGCAAGTTAAAAGGAGCAAAGGGTCTTTAAGAAGAGGGCCAACAATATTTAAAGTTTCCCTGCACAATTTTGGCTTTGTGATGAACCACCCCAACAAGCAAGTTCATATCGACCTATCAGTCTACTTACAATAACATCCAAATTGTTTGAGAGGCTCTTCTTGAATCGTCTACTTGAAGAAGTAGAGGACAGAAACTTGATTCCAAATCATCAGTTTCGATATCGACGAGAACATTCCACAGTTGTACAAGTACATAGAATACAAGTACAGTAGGCCTACAGTTAATAAAATTAAAAAAGACCTCGAGAAAAAGAATTATTGTACAGCTTTCTTTATCGATGTAAGTCAAGCCTTGCCAAAGTGTGGCACATAGGCTTACTTTATAAGCTCAAACTGAATCTTCCTCATACATTTTATATGACAATCAAATCATACCTAACCGACAGATATTTCAGAGTTAAATTTGGAGATATCATTACAAAATTGTACCCAATTCAAGCTGGCGTTCCCCAAGGAAGTGTTCTCGGACCTGTACTATATACGCTGTTTACAGCTGATCTACCTGAAAATGTGAATACTTCTGTGTCCACTTTTGCTGACGATACTGCTATTTTAGCGTCCCATCCTGATCCAGTGGTAGCTTCAGTTAATCTTCAAAATTCACTAGATGACTTGGAAGAATGGTTGCAAACATGGAAAATAAAAGTGAATGAGAGCAAATCTACTCATGTGACCTTCACTACCAGATTAGGTACTTGTCCTCCTGTAACCTTAAATAATGTCCAAATTCCTCAATCCCAGAAAGTAAAATATCTCGGCATGACGATTGACAAAAGATTAACATGGAAAAACCACATCTGAAACAAAAGAATGTATCTAAATTTAAAATTTAAAAATCTTTCCTGGCTCCTAAGTAGTTAATCAAAATTGACCATTGCAAATAAATTATTACTATACAAAGTAATCCTGAAGCCAATTTGGACATATGGAATCCAACTGTGGGGAACATCCAGTTTTTCGAACATAAACATCATCCAACTATTTCAGTCAAAAGTTTTAAGGTTCATCCTGCAAGCCCCATGGTATGTTAATAACAATATCCTTCATAAGGACAGTGGAATTCCGGTAAAAGAGGAAATAACAAAATTTAGTGCAAAATATCTAAAGAAGCTTGAAAATCACCCTAATCACCTGGCACTAAACCTCTTGGACAACCGTACTGCTATATACAGACTGAAAAGGATTCATGTTTTGGACCTCCACTTTTTGTTTGAACAATTTAATTTTCTCTTGTTTATCTACTTATTTATTTTTTCATTGAACTATTTTTAAGTTAGATCTGTCGATGGACAGAGATTTACTAACGTTTTATTAATAGTTGTTATTGTATTTGCTGAGTATTCAAAAAACTGAACAGATTGTAAATAAAATTGTGATAAAAAAATAAAAATCTCTATGGTGATTAGCAGCATTTTCATAACGAAACGGCACACGTAAGATTTCTCAGGTGCCATTTGACGTCACTTTGAGGGAACACCAATACTGCATCGATACAAATCTGAGCCATCGGCCTCGGTGGTACAGTGGATAGCGTTGCGGGCTGATAATCCGAATGTTCCGGGTTCGAATCCCGCCGGCAGCACTCGCTTTTTATCAACAATTTTTTCATATCAGCTAGTTTGGTTGGTTTGGTTAGGTTATGACAGTTTAATTTTATAATTAAAAAATTATAAAATTGAATTTAGGCAATTATAATTTTATTTTATGAACAAAACTATTTTTTAGATTAGTAAACCTTAAATCGATTTTTCCATTATCAGCACGTTTGGTTAGTTTGGTTAGGTTATGACAGTTTAATTTTATAATTAAAAAATTATAAAATTGAATTTAGGCAATTATAATTTTATTTTATGAACAAAACTCTTTTTTAGATTAGTAAACCTTAAATCGATTTTTCCATTATCAGCACGTTTGGTTAGGTTATGACAGTTTAATTTAATAATAGAAAATTATAAAATTGTCTGTTTCTTCAGACGCAGCAGTTAGTGACGTCAAACGGCACCTGAGAAATCTTCCGTGTGCCCCACCGTTTTCATAATGCCTTGATTAAAGTTTGAGGTTAGCGAACTGAGAAATTTACCATATGTTTATTCTGTTCCCTATTTGAAGTTACTTAAAAACAGTGACTTTCCAGACGATTTAGATAACTAAAAACGGCTGCTTTCCTGACAGTATGATGAAAAATATTTATTACCCTGGATGGCAGAGTTAAAGTAAATTCTAGCACTATTTGCGGTCTTATGGAATTTTTTTTACCATAGATCGATTATTCAGTAAATTGAAGCGTACTGGAATTAATATAAGATACATCTTAAATATAGAATTCCTAACAATTGTGCATGTGTATAAAAACTATTGTTTTTAAAAAACTTCTACTTTATTTCAGATCTTCTTTGCGTGACAATGTTTATAAATGAAATACCAAGAACTGGGGAGGGATTCTAGTATCTCAAGGAAGAACGAACTCAGACACGCAGAGGGTCAACTCTGGCAAAAGGCAATAGGAATGTTCCAAGTATAACAGAGGTATCAATCAGCCCTGACCAGGGATATAATAACTCAAACTCCTGCTCATAAGGGACAACCTTTTGAATTTACTCAGTGTGTTCTCTTGCAGCATTTGAAGTTTGAAGATCCATGAAATGACTCGCTCAGATAAGTTATTTAAATGTGGTACTTGTGGTAAAGTTTTTTCTCGTAAATATAACCTGATTCGCCACGAAGAACAGATACATAAATTCGAGGATCATTTAAATATGCTTAAATGTGCTATTTGTGGTAAAGAGTTTTCTTGTAGTGATGACCTGAAACTCCACAATGAGTGGCATAGGGAAGAGAACAACCGATCTGGACGATACGAGTGTGGTACTTGTGGTAAATTTTTTTCTCGTAAATATAACCTGATACGCCACAAAGAACACACACATCAATTCCAGGATCATTTAATGACGCTTAAATGTGCTATTTGCGGTAAAGAGTTTTCTTGTAGTGATAACCTGAAACGCCACGAAGAGTGGCATAGGGAAGAGAACAACAGCTCTGAACGATACGAGTGTGGCACTTGTGGTAAAGATTTTTCTCAAAAGGGTACACTGAAACGCCACCAAGCGGTGCATTGCGTTGAGAAAAACAGTTCTGAACAATATGAGTGTGGTACTTGTGGGTTAGATTTTACTCGTAAATCCAACCTAAAACGCCACGAACAGGAGGCCCATACAGTCCAAGGGCAAATATATGAATGTGCAGAATGCTGTAAATCATTTACACGTAAGGAGACCTTGATTAGGCACATTAGTCAAAACCATTTGGGTTCTAAACCTTGTCACAAGTGTCCTAAATGTAAAAAACGTTTTCATCGTCTTACTACTATGAAAAAACATGCAAAAATGGTCTGCTTCACTATACTATAAAACCATACAGATAATAGTGTTATACCATAAGGGTATTTTTAAGCTGCAAGTATAAATCAATTGTCCTTCTGAATTTAATTGTTTTTTTTAATTATCTGAGATTTATTGGGTAGTGATACGCTGTAATTCATCACAACTTCAGATTTACATTTATAGTTAGTTTAAATAGACACAAGGAAATATGAGTAAATCATCTTAACTTGATTGCACATGGGCCGCATACTTGCAATCATGATCCTGCAGCACATGCGCATGTCATGTCTGCTTCCCATCCCAACCAACCTGTGATCAGGTTCAGTTGGGAAGGCATTGGAGAAATATTTTTCTCAGTTTGCATTGTACAATCCATTGTATGCTAGCGCAATAATCTTTTCAGCCAGACCTTTATTCTGACTTATGTCTAGGTGGCAACAATCTTGCTTTTTGTACTATTGTAGTTTGTTTTAGTAATGTTCGCATTTATTAGTAAACTGTAGCATTAAGAATGATCCAAGAATACCTTAAGAGAATTATGTAAGTTTCTAAATTTACTTGAATATCGAGTTAAACACATACAGTGGCGGACCGTGATCTGACGGACTAAGATGATCCCTACGCAAGACCAAAGAAGGTATTCATGATTTTGACGCGATCACAGAAAAAGATGACACTTTTTCTGTGGCTGCAGAAGAAAAAGATAGTGTCTCCTAGACCGAACAAGATATTCATGATTATGCCGTAATCGTGAAGAAAGTTGACGTCGCTTCCGTGACCGCAGGAGACATATATGATGTCTACAAGACCAAAGAAGATATTCATGATTATTACGCAATCATAGAAAAAGTTGACCTTATTTCCATGACCGCGGAAGAGAAAGATAGTGTCTTCAAGACTGAAGAATAGATTCATGAGTTTGCCGCAATCGTAGAAAAAGATTATGTTGTTTCCGTGACTGTGAGAGACAGAGATGATGAAGACTGCAAGACCGAAGAACATATTCACGATTTTTTTGCAACTGCGGAAAACAATGATGAGTTTTAATCACTGCGAGAGACGATTTCTACATGAACGCAGGAGATATTCAAGATATGGCTGTGGTCACGGAAAACGATGACAATGGTTCCATGACCAATGGAGGCGATGAAAAAATATCCACACGAGTTGTTGGATTTTTCCATGATCACATAGGCTGAGATAAACGAATATAAGGTGATGTTTAAGTAGGGGGGGGAGGGTGCTCTCCACATGTACTCCATTGGGGGGGGGGGGGCACTCATTGTACTTACATCACTAAACACATACTATTGATTATACAGGCAAACCTCAATTACACTTATTGCTTATTTTAAAGAAAACCCCTTGTGTATTTGCAATAAACCGTGTGGCAGGCAGAGTAAAAACTAATAACTTTATCGTAATGTAAACCTCTAATAATGAGCATAAAAAGATTAACTAACTGAGGAAAAAAGTAAAAATAAAGCTAACAAGGATCACAAATGCTTGAGAAAATCGTAAGACACACACCTATTAACCGCATACTTGAATGAAAGGTCTTGATGTACAAAACTTTCCCTTAATAGTATCAGTTTATCGATAAACCATCTCCTATGGACAGGAACTGAGAAAAATTTAGTAGCTTTTTGATGGTTCGAAACAGGACCCAGCTGTTCCTGATCATTGATTGGGCTTTAAATAAATTAATTATCCCTGGCTAGTGAAACAACTGATCTTAACAAAGCTACACAGATCATCTCACCTCACACCATTCTACACTCATCCTTTGTCATATTTGGTTAAAATACGCACCTACATGGCGTCCCCATCTCTATTGATGTTGAGGGTCTAATCACATTTAAAATATTATTGAAGATGCATCTGCTGTTACATTTGCTTTTATTTTAGTTTGTTTTTCCCGAGTTAAACTTTTGATTCTCATTGTATGATGTTAACATTGCGATAAAGTAGTTGGTTTTGATTCTGTCATATAGTTTAACGAAAACTACGCAAGATATTTTCATTTAATTAAGCAATAAGCAGGATTTAGATTTGCCTGTATTTAATCCATGCAAGGGTGTTTTTTTTTTAGAGTAGCTACTCTTAACAAAGAATTATAGTTGCACTATTTTCAAATCTCTAAAGCTTTAGAGACCCCAAAATTCTCTTAAGTATTCTTGCTCCGTTGCAAATTACAAGAAGAATAACTACAAGAATAAAGCTAACGTAATGGCTGATGCATCTTCAGTATTTTAAATCTGACTAAATGTAACACTTCAATTGAGGTTCATGCTCTAAGGAAATTGTTTGTTGAAAAACTAGTATTATAATGGGTTTCTCATCAAAACCTTTCATTCAAGTGAGCTGTTGATAGGTGTATAACCTACGGTTTACTCAAAATATTGTAATCCTTATTACCTTTATATTGGCCTAGATAGTTGATTGTATATTAGGCAAATACAAGACATCAAATAGAGTGATTTGTTTGTTAATGACTTCACTAAGTGTTCATGGGACATTTGCGTCGCTCATGGCAGACACTACCTAAGTGCTTATGAGTGACTGGTGTCGGTGTCCCTAATTTTATCTCTCTAATTTGACTGTTGTTCCCCTTAGTTTGATGACGCCACTTGCCCCACTTACTCATATGTTTTATGTTTATTTCTTAATGAACATGTGTAAATTCAATAGGCTAACAAAAAATAACAGGGCTACCTAATATATATATATTTTTTTATGAGCAGTCATTGTGTTTATACTTTCCACATGTTAATCTTTTCCTGCCCAAGCACACGAATACCGGTTAGACCAATTTTTTGTGCGTTTAAGGTTTTTTTGTCTAAATAACACAAAAATAGCAATTTGTACTATAACTTAAATCTTTCAGTAATAAAAAAAGTTTTGTATGAGTCATATTTGACTCGTTGGGCCTCTACAGTAATAACTGACCAGGGAGTGGCAAATAAAAAAAACGAGGGCAAGCTCCTTGATATCGGACGGCTCTTAGATAAAACCTGTTCATCAATGATCTGCAAATTCCAGATATATATATATATTTAAATTTTCTGTCCTAAAAATATTTAGAACATAGGTATTGCAAAAATATCTCATCGAGCATAAAAGGGGCTTATTAAAAAAGTTAATAATCTAGTCAGTAGTTTTTCCATTTCACAAACAAAACAGTGAATATTAATGTAAGGGTTTACATGTCTGAAGACTGAAACGTAAGACTTTTATAAATATATTTCTTTTAAGTAAATTAACATGTGAAGACGTTAGAATAGTAACATTATACCCCTACCTTGTAGCCAATTAGGTAGTATACTTTAATTTAGGATGAATCTAATTTAAGCTGGTAGTAGAAGTGAGATAAATTAAAAGACAAAGTAGGCCAAAGATGCATTTATTTTACGGATGTCAAATTTCTCAAAATACACTTTCCAAATGAAATTAAATATCCAGTTGTTACTTCCAAAAATTATACTAAATAATAAAATAGTGGAAAGATCTTACTTTAAACAGAGACACTGGTTTAATGGTCAGAACAGGCACTAGCAGATACCATGCAAACTAGAAGTGGTGCAAAAAGCTACTGGACCAATCATAAGAAGGTGAACAAGAAGTGGTAGTACCAAGAAGTGGTTGATTTCTGTCTGAAAACATCACACAAACCCAATAAAAACTATTCTCTATAAATTCTAATAATTAAAAGTAGATTTAAGATCTTTACAACTTCGTGTGAAAATGTGCTTCTCCTAGAACAAAACTCAACAGGTCTGTATAAACTTTACTTGTTTTCTTTTCTTGTGAAATGCATTAAAATTGATTTGAAAACTATTCATTCCTTTTCATCTTTTTCCAAAAGTGATTTCTAAAAAGCTATATACAATAAATCAGCTAAAATCTTATTACTAAACAATATTAAAACTACTTACAATTTTCTACAGCAACCACAACTTAGATGACCATATTTCCAGTGAACTTAAAACTGACAAAGTTGAACCTAGTTATCACTAACCACTACCAACCCTACAAAACTAAAACTTCTAAACTGCTGGTCACTCTTTCTTAATCTTTCTAGCCAATGATTAAATAATATTGATTTTGTTTTGTTATTTCAAATAAAAACTAACTACCATCGGT